ATGTGCCAAGCGAGAACTTTAACCATTAGGCTACTGTGCCAGGTCCTGAAATCACCTTTAGTCAAGCTAAATGTATTAAATTGAAAGCACCTTCATTTTGATACCTGGCCTCTTTTATTTTTTTTTAAGCAATAAAATGTCCTGTATTTGCAGCCATTCTGAAACCAGGCTAAAGTCATATTAATAGTACTTTCTCCATGACTGTCTAATCACAGTTTTTCTATGAGAAAGGGTCCTTTCTCTGTGCAAAGAAGAAGTATTCCTCAGTGTCATTCTAGCTGATGCTCTCTGTTCTGGTTTTGGAGCAGTGACTTCAGGTAGTGTTTTTGTTTCCTAATACAGAAATGTGGCTTTTGTCCATATGCAGCTTTAAAGCACATGCTAATCAGAATGAAACATTAATTCAAGGGGTTGAAGTAGAACCAGTGTTCAGTTGGTTGTGCAGTTAAAATGCAGAAGTAGAAACATTTGAGTGGGAGGATTTGGGAGCATCTGCTGTAAGCAGTGTTAAGTACTCTTCTGACTTCAAAATAGATGTTTAGTGAAGTCTTCATTAGTGTTCCCCAGTTAGATAATCCACAATCTACATGTAGTACATGCTCAATAAATATTTAAGTGAATGACACATACCACTTTGAATAAAACTGGGGCAAAGAAATTTCAAAAAAGTCATGGTTAAAATGGAAATAAAAGATAATCTGAAGCTTCCATAAACTTGGAAACCCTGTTGATTCATGAACTACTGTTTAGGAGACATTTCTAATGTTCTCTTTAGTTGCTACTTTTGTTTTTATTTTATTTTAAATCTGCTTACTTATTTGAAAGAGTTGCAGAAAGAGAGAGAGAGACAAATATTTACTATCTGCTGGTTTACTGCCCAAATGGCCACAACAGTTGGGCTGTGTCAGGCCAGGGTCAGGGACCTGGAACTTCATTTGGGTCTCCCACGTGGTAGCACGGGTCCTGGCTCTTGAACCATGTTTGCTGCTTTTCCAATCACATTAACAGAAAGCTAGATTGAAAGTGGAACAGCCAGCACACAGATCAGCCCTCAGCTGTCAGTGTCAACGACTGTGGCTTAACCCCTTGGGCCAGCTGGATCCTGTAGTTGGTATTTTGGTTAAAGTTAACTTGTGATAAAAACTAAACTCTGAAAATTAAGCACTTTGGATAAAATGTAGTATTTAATTTAAGTATCACTTAGAACAGAGCTAACCAAAATTTTAAAGTTTGTAACTCTGCCATGTTAGTTTATCCTACTAAACATTAGTTAGTATTACTTTCATATAATCACAAGAAGTATTTTTGTGATGAGCCAGAGGAAGGAGAGAGGTGAACAGAACAGTGTGAGATACTCTGAAAGCCTCAGTCAATAGACTGGAGGAATATTAGACTTTGGTTTTCTGCAAGCCTAACTTGATTGTTCTCTCACCCATGACCAATGGTATTATCTGCATCTAGACATTGGAAACCAGGACAACTTTTGACACACCTCCTTCTCTTCCTTTTTTCTCATTAAACCTCAGAGATAGAATACAAGTGAATGAACCTTAGGAAGCAGTTGGGATCAGGAAAATTTCAACAATTATCGTTATTTTCTTATTCACCAAATGTCTATTTCAAGCCTGGAATATACAAGGGAATAAGTTGTTTTGTATGTCTTCTCTCCCATTCCATTATACACAATCCCCCAGTCCTTTTTTTTTCTAAGCCAAAATTAGCATTAAGTTTTGTCAGTTGAAGTTCTTTCAACAAACAGAGTCCTCCTGAGGTCCTGGCAAAATTGGTTTAACCCCAGTTGCAACCACCAGCTGATTGGGGCAATTGACTGTACCAGGCGTTGTATTGCAAGTACACACACAAGTCTGGTCTGGGAACACCTCAGAAAAAGTTTCTTTGGGGATCTCCCCAATTGAACTGCCGGACTCAGAACTCTAACCATGAAAAGACAGAGGACAGAAGATATCAGTCAACTACCTCAACCATGTGTTGGCAGTGAAAAACGGCAAATGGAGACTCTGGGGTGCCCTGTGGGAAAAAAAACCCTCTTTTTTCAGTGGATTCTTCAGCGACCTTGTCATGCTTGGAGTGGCAAAATTGGCAGCAATTCATAACGGTTGAACTGTCAAAGCTACTTGGGCAAGACCCTCGGAGCATGCCCTACATCAGGGACCTGGGATGGGTGGGAGACTGGGTGGAGCTTCTCCCTTTGTCTCCCCTTTTCCCCCAGATACATGAAGGAAACAATGTGGAAATAATAGTCTTGCCCACTTTCCTGCAATTCTTGAAACTTTTTGCCCTAATTAGCTAATAAACATTGTAAAAAAAAAAAAAAAGGGGTTTATCCTGAAGTCTACCCTTCTGCCACTTAGCTGCATTTTCAGAGAGAATGGTAACTTTGTAGTAATTTAAGGAGTGGTATCCTAATGTCTAGGCCAAAAGAACTTTGGGGAACGGTTTAGCTGAGAGATAGGATAATTGGAGCACTCAAAAAGCAACATGTAGACTCAGCAGATTTATGGATGTCTTAGAGGAGATAGGCAAGAGTGTTCAGAAAAGAAAGCAGATGATAAGAGAGAAAGGAGGTTCTAGAAAGCGCCTCGGATCGGCATAGTATCGGCCCGTTGCGCTCACTTGGGGAGTGAATCATCGGACGGAAAATCTTCCTCTCTTTCTCTCCTCTCTGTATATCCGCCTTTCCAATGAAAAAATAATAAAAATAAATCTTTAAAAAAAAAAAAGTAAGTAGAGGGCCCGGCATGTTAGCCTAGTGGCTTAATCCTCACCTTGCATGCCTCTGGATGCCAGTTTGTGTCCAGCTGCTCCACTTCCTGAATCATTCAGCTCCCTGCTTGTGGCCTGGGAAAGCAGTACAGGATGGGTCAAGGCTCTGAAAGCAAGTCTGTTTTATAGATTATCTTAACAGGAGCTTTATCAGAATGCCTTAACCCTCTTTTTTCAAGTTTTCTATTAGATGTTGGGCAATGATCAAAGAGCTCTTTCAGTTTGGATATGCTGCTGTGCTGAAGTTCTTTCTTTCTTGCCAGCTGATTGGATGTTGTTCAATCCTATTTCTATTGACCAGAAAAGGATAGTTATCTTTTTGTCCCTCTGTTCTGGGATCTGACATACTCTATAGTACTGTTGAATGGACATGTGGGTAGGTGCAGGAATTTTTAAGAAGACTTTAATTAATTGGGATGGTAATCTGGATTCCTTGTATAGGCTCATAAAGAGCACAATGTCTGCCCCTATCGTGCGTATTCCTTGGGTCTGCCGTGATTGTTACTGAAACAATTCTGTTGGTTTTCTAGGTATAAAATTGTGGGTTAAAATTGCACTGACTTAAGCTAAAACTGGCATAGGATCTCTTATTCCTCACTGAGAAGTAAAACAATCACTAAATAAGACTGTGAGAAAACAACATCTCTTAGAACCTAATAATTAATTCAGTGATTTTTCTAGTTTCTGTCAGTTTTAATCTATTCTTCCTATTAATCTTTCATAAATCATGGAATAAATTTATTGCTTTTGCCTTAGCAAAATCTGATATCATTTGGTGTCTGATTTAGTATAAATTCTAGTATTTAGGTATCAAGTTGAATAAATCAGTGTTTATTGGGGAAAAAAAAAAAGAACATTTGGTGCAGCTGTTAAATGCCATGAAAATGCTATTATAGACATTTAAGGAGTGAACCAGCCAGATAGAAGCGCTCTCTCTCTCTCTCTCTCTCTCTCTCTGCCTTTGTCTCTGCCTTTTAAATGAAAATAAGTTTATTTAATTTTTAAAAATCAGGCTGAACAAAAATATTTACTATCCTTAGCAGGACATGGAGCTTCCTCTAGGATATTGAAAATGTTTTGGAACTAGAAGAGGGTAATAGATGTACAACATTGTGAATATAATCAATTAAAATGCCACTGAGTTGGCATTTTACTAGTTTTTGATTATTAATTAAATTTATCAATCAGATCATTTATTAATTGATCTTATTTTATGTGAAGTTCACTTTACTTCAAGCTATATCTTTCGATTATTATAATATACAAGTGTAGCTCAGAGAATATTTTTTCCCTGGTCACAAAATTATTCCTTCAAACCATGACACGTTAGAGCCAACGTGAATATCACAGGTTAAATGCTGGAATGCCAGGCAGTCAGCTTGGGAGACCAGACAGCCATATAACCTAAAGCTAACAACACCTGCTTCTATTTACATGATTAGCTTACTGTGTATCAACATCTAATGTTAGAATAGTTCCTTAAAATTCCCATGTAGAACTTTGTACTTGTTGGGGTACCTGGAGAAGGCAGCCTGTGTTCGGTTGACAGAACCTTTTTTTCATATACAAGTAAAAAGCCTATTTCAAACTTCCAAAAGGTAACTATAAAAGCTATTCCCAAAATACCTAATCCTTCAATGCATTATAAAATTTCTCCAAACAATGATTAGATGTTCTTTAAAGAAGGTAAAAGGCTTAAAATGTGGCTTCGAATTTCCTGGGTTTTAAAGATATTCTCATTTTTAATAAAAGCAGTGAAACTTTAAACAGGTGTTTCTTGAATCCTGTTTCTAGTGGTATTTACATGGATCTTAAGCAGTTCGATGGGTTGGTCTTTAGAGCCAGTTTTCACATGCTTAGACACACAGACCATACTCTTTCTCTTTTTGCTGTGACATCATCAACCTCAGTTCCATAGCCGTATTCTGCTAGAGTACAGTGGGAAGAGCTAATGTATTTAAGTTCATAAAAAAGCAGAGCATGTCTTACTAATATGCTAAGCCTCAAACTTTTCACCACTGCTGTTCTCAGACATATCTTAACGCACCACAGTGTTTCTGTGAAAGCTGATGGCTAGCTCATGATTGAGTTACAGATATGGGTTAGTCATGTGTTCTTTTTCCATGAAACTATTATGTAAATGTAGTAATTTACGTTTAGTGTTACCAGTAGGTTTAGAATGAACTATAGTAACACTTTTGTCTTACCTCTTCTAGAACTGTCAAGTAATCCACCTTTGGCTACCATCCTTATCCCTCCTCATGCTAGAATTCAAGCAGCTGCTTCAACCCCCACAAATGCCACAGCAGCCTCAGGTAAGGACACTTAAATGTCTCCTGTTTAAAAAAAAAAAAAAACTGCAAAAAAAAAAATCACCATTTCATGTGATGAGTGTGAGCATTTAATTCTTACATTGTAAAAACATGGTGCAGGCAAATGAGGAAATATGAGTAAAATGCTGATATTTTACAAAAAGCATAAAACAATTATACAAATATTTTATGTATAAAGTATATAATATAAATATCTTCTTAATTCTGTTACCGTAGTTATTTTTACTATGTATCAGTGAAATGCTTACAGCAGAAAACTATGTGTGCAGATATGTTACTGAATGCCTTCCTGGTAAATTATATTACACTAGAGAAATTCATAAGAAGTATAAAATGTAAGTTGGTATATTCCTATTCATTTGGAAAGGCTAAAACTGAAACAAAGAAAGCACTTTCAGCTGAGATTTAGATCAGGATGTGACTAGGCTCCAGTCTCTTAAAAGTATGTCTTCCATGAACTCCCAGCTTAGAGCTAGGTTGTGCTGCTGGTCCCTTAGCCAGATGGTAGTGGGGACTGATTCATGGAGATTACTGTCACTGAAGATACTCTGAAAACACACAGTCCTTCAGTGAGTTAAAGTTTCTCCAACCAATGACTAGATAAAGAAGGTAGAAATTATAATAGGTAGCAAGGTAAAAATCTTATAATTTGGTACCTATAATCCACACCACCACCACTACCAACAACAAAAATCAGATGGCAAGGACTGGCTGTTATTTTAATTATATCCTATGTCACATTAAACCAAGATGGATCCAGACCCATTTTTATTGAGAGTGTTTTTGCTGCAGGAAATAGACTTTGATGAATAATTCTTAGCACTCAACAGTGAAGATCAGATTCCATCTGTTGTCTTTTTTTGTTTGAATTTGATCTTAATCTTCCAATGAAGATTACAGACACCTCATTCTAGTCCTGAATTCGATATAGGAAATACTATAAAGAAAGGTCTTTTTTCTAGTTCAAAGTCTCAATCTATAAAGCTGAAATGCAGATCTAAGGTAATGTAAAAATCAAAGATGCGCTGAAATGTTCTTTAAGTTATTCTAAATATAAATATACTTTTTTAAAAAACTATGCCTTATTCAGGAAGAAAACACAACTGTAAATGAGCTGCTGATTAACATAATGCATAATGTCCCAGGTTGGGTTAATTTGGTTGTTCACAGCACAAAGTAGATACTAACTCTGAATCTATACACTTCTTGAACTTCTTTCCAAAGTATTCTTAGAATTGTTTCAGACTTAATATACACATGAGAATTATGATTGGTAAGTTTCAATAATTTGAAATAACTTTTTTTAGTGTGGGTTGCCTGCCAAACTCATTATTGATTTAGCCCAAAGTTTGGGGTAGACTGTCTTCCTGGTAGAAGCCTGGTATAACCTAATTTACGTGTTGATTTGAAATGAAGTATAGCATTCACAAAAATCCTACATTATTGGAAGGATATTGTTACAGCAATTAAAAGTCAGAGGTAGTTAAAAAGTGGAAACTGACATTACAGTTTTATTGAGAGTTTACTCCAAAATTTACAGGGTATAAGGAATAGTAATGGAGGCCAGAAATAGAATTAGTTCACAGAGCATAAATTTTGAGCACCAAAGATTTCTTGTCTTACTCTGAGATGTTCCTAGTGACTAAATGAAGAATATCTGTTAAACTTTCCAGTTGTGGAAGCAGGCATTTTTATAGCAGGTAAGATGCTGCTTCAGATGCCTGCATCCCGCATCATACTGGCTGGGTTCAAGTCCGAGCTCGATTCCTGATTTCAGTTCCCTGCTGACAAATATCCTGGGAGGTAGTATGAATGGCTTAAGTACTTAGATCCTTGCAATCCTACAGGAGACCTGGGTTGAGTTCCCAGTTCTAGTTTTGATTGTAGCGTAGTCAATAGTACTGTGTATTTAATCAATAAGTCGGTACATAAGAGACCTGCTGGTGGAGTGTATAACATACTCTCTTTCTCGACATCACTATGCCTTTCAAATGATTTTTTCTAATCCACCATTGATTAGATAAAAAGTATTCTGGTGGCTTAAGGAAGTAATATTTATGGCCCTGCTATTCTGCTATAAGAGCTCAGATTTTATTTTAGTAAATGAACTTCTTATCAACATCCTAACATTAAATGTAATAGTTTTATATGAATAGATTATTTAAATGCCCATTGAAATAAACCTAAAACATGATACCATAGTAGTCATAGTTAAAAGAAAAAAAATTTTTTTAAGATTTATTTATTTTTATTGGAAAGGCAGATATACAGAGAGGAGGAGAGACAGAGAGGAATATCTTCCATCCGATGGTTCACTCCCCAAGTCACTGCAATGGCTGGAGCTGAGCCAATGTGAAGCCAAGAACCAGGAGCTCTTCCAGGTCTCCCGTGCAGGTGCAGGGTCCCAAGGCTTTGGGCCAACCTCAGCTGCTTTTCCACGCCACAAGCAGGGAGCTGGATGAGAAGCGGGGCTGCCGGGATTAGAACTGGCGCCCATATGGGATTCTGGCGCTTGCAAGGCAAGGACTTTAACCACTGTGCTATCGCACCAGACCCGAAAAATAGTTTTCTATGGGGCCAAATAGTACTTCAGAAAATGCTAGTCTAGAACAAGTGATTTATGACCTCAATAACTATATTTAAATATATAAGTATGTATATTTTAAATAAGAATTTGGCAGTGTCAGTTACAGTGTTTACAGAGACTTTAGAGTTTATATGTCCTCTGTTCTCTTAGCTTCAGTTTTCTTATCCATAAAACAAAAATAGTAAATACCTGTAGTAGAGTTGTGAGAAGCAATATAAACTATACAAAGTATGCAGGAGTTTTGCTTGATCATTTTGACTGTTAGTAAAGGAAGCTGCTGCTACAATTTTTAGTTATTGTTATTGCCAACCAGGAACAGAACCAGGCACGTCAATATAAACTTAGGCATTGGAAGGCAATGCTGACATTCGTTTTGTAAGACTGTCCTCTGCTTGGGCTCTGCACAATGGCTCAGTGGCTAAATCCTCAGTTTGCAAGCACCAAGATCCATATTGGAGCCAGTTGGTGTCAGGGCTGCTCCACTTCCTATCCTTGTGACCTTGCACTCATGTGGGAGACTCAAGAGAAGCTCCTGGCTCCTGGCTTCCGTTTGGCTCAGCTCTGGCCATTACTTCCATTTGGGGAAGTAAACCAACAAATGGAAGATCTTTCTCTATATGTTTTCTTTTTATAGATCTGCCTTTCCAATAAAAATAGATAAATCTTTAAAAAAGAAAAACACAGAATAAAGAAAGAAAAAACAATGTGGATTTTATATTAACCTTTTAAGATTTCCTTGTATAGCAAACTGTAAAATGATAAATTTTCGATTTGTATATATAAAGCAAAAAAAAGTGCCAGTTTGAAACGTAGAATTTCTGCTTTTATGAAGTTTGTGGACATTCATATTCAGATCTCTGTGGAGAACATTTTTAAATGTTATGAATCATGTTGGTAACTTGTTTTTATGGTGGGTAAGATCTAAATAGAAACATAAAAATTAAAACAAATGTTAAATTACGAATCAGATGTTGACTGCTTCCCCCCCAAAAAAAAATTATGTATAATTCTTCAATATCTGAAAGCAATGCGGTGGGTTATGATGACTCTGATTGACATGAGAATTCCTTGACAATTACAACTAACTGTAATTCCATAAAATGTACTTCTTATTTTGAGATTACATATATAATAAATTAAGTTTCTTCTCACCACACCTGGTTATATCATTCACTCTATTTAGGGCAGAATCAGCAGTTATAATTAAGTCCTGAGATAGTACAGCTTTACTAACAGAATATGAACCACTTCAGGTAGGTCCAGCGTTAGAGTTTAGTTATTAGATGTGGTATGGAATTTCATCTCTAACAATTTTTTGTCTTTATTCAATTTACTTTACGAGTAAGGGTTTGGGTTTTTTTTTTTTTTTCAGTGTAATGATTTTGCTATTAAAAGCAAAGTTGAGGGGCCAGCATTATCTCAGAGGATTAAACCACCACTAACTGCTCCCTTTCTGATCCCACTCGCTGCTAATGCCCCAGGGAAAGCTGAAGAGGTTGAATGGCCCCTGCCATGTGGGAAGTCATGGTGAAGTCCTAGCCTCCTGCCTTCAACCTGGCTCAGCCCTGACTGTTGGCGGCCACTTGGGGAGTGAACCAGTAGAAGGAAGGCCTTTGTCTGTATCTCTCCCTCTCTATCACTGCTTCTTTCAAATAAATCTTCAAATTTTTTAAACCACTAATTTATAGGAAAGTAATCATCTCACAATGAAGTATAATCAGTAACTGGAAACTTAGTACAAGAATGAGCATGTAGTACCTATGGAACTGTGTCACATAATACATTGTTGTTGATTAAAAAAAAAAAAGAATGAGCATGTGTGTTTATGACACCAACTGTAAGAAAATGTATTCCTTTTCACCCTGCAATTAATTCCCTTACAGCTTCTTCCACTCTGTAATTTTACCAAGGGATTGTTCAGAACCAAACAAGTCATTTAATGATGGCTGACGTTTTCTCACTACTAATGACCATTTTCTATACTATAGCTGGATATTTTCTGTTTCTATACCGTTATTTACCACCTGCACATTTTATAAACATATCCATGCTTTACTTCTATGCAGCTGACTTTATTAATATGTCAAAGAGGATAAATCAGAGCCTACTATAGATGTTTTGTCTTTGCTCAAGTTAGAGTGATAGTTAAATGGAACTAACAAAGCTTACTAGCTATTACTCTTCTGTTGGTCTCTGAGTGATTGATTACCTCTTATTTACTTAACTATAGATTGACCTTAAACTACTGATTTATATATAAATCATACAAAAAATTTTGTAAAAGGCCTTGCTGCTGTCAACAAAACCTTCAGCCTTTTTTTTTTTTTTTAAATCAAACAAGATAGTCCAAGGTGAACATTATGGGCTTTTGTCTCAGTGGTTCAGACACCACTGA